GGCAACACTGCACAATACATTGCGCCCGTTAGAAAGTTGAACTAATTGAGCGCCTGTGGCGCTGCAGCACTGTCGGTTTCAACGGAACTTGGACTCCGGCTCAGACTCGCCCAGATGCCGGAGAGAGAGAGAGAGAGAGAGAGAGAGAGAGAGAGAGAGAGAGAGAGAGAGAGAGAGAGAGAGAGAGAGAGAGAGAGAGAGAGAGAGAGAGAGAGAGAGAGAGAAGAGAGAGAGAGAGAGAGAGAGAGAGAGAGAGGAGAGAGAAGAGAGAGAGAGAGAGAGAGAGAGAGAGAGAGAGGGAGAGAGAGAGAGAGAGAGAGAGAGAGAGAGAGAGAGAGAGAGAGAGAGGAGAGAAGAGAGAGAGAGAGAGAGAGAGAGAGAGAGAGAGAGAGAGAGAGAGAGAGAGAGAGAGAGAGAGAGGAGAGAGAGAGAGAGAGAGAGAGAGAGAGAGAGAGAGAGAGAGAGAGAGAGAGAGAGAGAGAGAGAGAGAGAGAGAGAGAGAGAGAGAGAGAGAGAGAGAGAGAGAGAGAGAGAGAGAGAGAGAGAGAGAGAGAGAGAGAGAGAGAGAGAGAGAGAGAGAGAGAGAGAGAGAGAGAGAGAGAGAGAGAGAGAGAGAGAGAGAGAGAGAGAGAGAGAGAGAGAGAGAGAGAGCGCACTATGATACCATACCCAGATGCGTAGAGAGGCCGCAGATAGCAGTACAGGCCGTACACACAAGATGTGCTAAGCGTGTGCTGATCGATGTGTGTCAGGCGTCCGATAAGCCGAAGGAAACACGCTTTAGCTCAACAGTCAACTATCGATCAATAATGGGCTGTCAAGAATGACTCAGAAATAACCTGCTGATGGGCCGGATGGATGTCAAGTGCCATCGATGTGGCCAAGGAACATGTACGCACCTGGCTCAGGGACTGCATATTCGTTGACGTATACGGCCGGGTGTTACCGAAAGCAGCTGTTTCGTGTTTTATTTAGTTCTTCATTTGCTTGGTGCGAGATATCGCGGTGCCTCGTCGAGTGGTTGGAAAGCTATATGGAGACGGTGTCAGGAGTGGTTCCGTTTGCTCAGGAGTGGACATTCCTCCAAACTGAGCACACCAGTTCCGTTCGCTCAGGAGTGGACATTCCTCCAAGCTGAGCACACTAGTTCCGTTCGTTCAGGAGTGGACATTCCTCCAACCTGAGCACACTAGTTCCGTTCGTTCAGGAGTGGACATTCCTCCAAGCTGAGCACACTAGTTCCGTTCGTTCAGGAGTGGACATTCCTCCAACCTGAGCACACCAGTTCCGTTCGTTCAGGAGTGGACATTCCTCCAAGCTGAGCACGCTAGTTCCATTCGTTCAGGAGTGGACATTCATCCAAGCTGAGCACACCAGTTCCGTTCATTCAGGAGTGGACATTCCTCCAAGCTGAGCACACCAGTTCCGTTCATTCAGGAGTGGACATTCATCCAAGCTGAGCACACCAGTTCCGTTCGTTCAGGAGTGGACATTCATCCAAGCTGAGCACACTGTTTCCGTTCGTTCAGGAGTGGACATTTATCCAAGCTGAGCACACTGGTTCCGTTCGTTCAGGAGTGGACATTCCTCCAAGCTGAGCACACTATTTCCGTCTGCTTTCAGCCCAGATATGGTGAAAACAGCATTGCTGACGCAGGTAAACTGGCAAACAGTTGTAAAACCAGGGGAATTCTTAAAGGTTGTTTGCTTAGTTTTGGCCAGTGGCTGTTCGGTATACGTTGCTCCGCATACTCGTATTGGATTGTGTTACGGGGCATTTACGGAGCTTTAAGTGGGTTTTTATAGAGGCGGTGAGAGCACTGGCTCAGAGCACCGTGGAAGTGGCGACCGATCTGTTCCAGTGAGTAGACGACGCAGTTTCCGGCGGGGCACCAGTTTTCCCCGTATCTCCTTTTGCACGCACTCTCCGGGTCGCCACGCCTCGGTCTCATCTTGTCAGATCCGCGTGCGTCGATCGTCGGTAGTTAACCGCCAGCTCGGTGTGAAGTGACGTCACTGGATCAGCTCGGTTTGTAGTGACGTCACGGTCTGGCAGCATCCGTCTCCATTACCGTCGAAGTCATTCATCATTCACATATTGCCTGTCGGGGCTGAGGTGTCGATTTTTCATCCTGACGCCCCTCCAATTATCGGAATTTCACGGCCGGGCTGCTGCGGCGTTCGTGGCGTCGCTGCTGCGGCGCCACCCGGCTGAAATGCCACCTCGCGCCCACTAGAGCGAAAGGCTCTCGCGATTGGCTCTCGCTCCCGAGGGTACGCCCTCAGGGCATGAGATTGCCGGAGTCAGCCGCATGTGGACGGCTGCTTTCGTGCAAGGTAGTTGAGAGGCTATGGCGGTGTCAGATCGCTTTGTGCTGCAACATCTCTTTCGAATGCAAGGTCGTTTCGTAGGGGATTAAAAGAAGGCGAGGCCAGAGCCTCGCACTGGGGCTTGATCCTCGTGGGATTGTGAATGCAGCGGTGGCCCAAAATTATCGCGGTGCTCGAGGCGACTGCAAGACGAAACAACCGGAAGGAGATCTGCGTACTTTTTCGGAAGGTGCCTCAGCCGCCGCGCGAAATCTAGATATTTCTCGCTTGAACTGGTTAACGCTTTTCGGAGCTGGGCAGGATTATTGCTCGAACGTGCCATGACCGCCTTCCAGCATGGGAAGTTTATTGGCAAATGGCTAGGTGGATCTAAATTCTGATCGGCGAGTGCATAGGTACATCCATCGTCTATGAAGCGCCGCAGGAGGTGCATGATGTGCTCCAAATATTAGGAGATGCCCGGCAGGATGGTTGCGCCCGTTTTCTCCGAGGAACCTCTGCGTGCACGAGTCAGTATCAGCCCTTATTCCTTTGATGTTCCTTTGCCATTCACTGCCAATGGAGAGTATCTTGGGATGGAGGAAGCGTCTCTGTGCAATCACACCGCACCATCCAGCTGAATGGTCCAACGACGACGGCGCCCATGATCCATTCATGACGGGTGGATGCGTCGGCACCCGGGGGCATCGTCATCCCTTGGGCGTGTATGAGGTCACTGTGGGGGAGGGGGAGGGGGGAGCGGGGCGACTGGCGGGGTGATGTCGCGGCGCCAAGTGACGTCAGCGCGGTACGTTTGCAGTACGCGGTACGCGGTACGTACGGGCTGCAAATGTTTCAGCGATTTCAGAACTGTTTGTTTCATTGTAGGTTTTATGGATCATTTTATGATAGACCATGATAACTGCTCGTCAGAGATGTTGCCCATCGCTTTTGATCTTCGCCTGACCTTATAAAAAGGCTACTTCACATCTAGAGAACGAACAAGGGTGACGGAATAGTTAATTCACGTGAAAGTGCTCGTTTAAGAAGGTGTTCAAGTATACCAGATATGCGATATACTCCTGTGAGCATATCACACCATTTTCACAATTTTAAGTGCTCTGCAACACCGGCTATTACGTTGATTGTCTGGTTCGACGGCATCTCAATTTCCCGTGGAAAGGTCTGTACACTCGTTGCATACCCCGTCGTTTGTCTCTCAGCTCAGTGTGCAGTGTCACACCGCGCCTCGTGGGTGAAGAGGGTTCGGAACAAGGCGGCGGGTGCCGTCTTTGACGCTGCAGATCCCGGTGTGATGCCCTATAGTAGAATAAGCATGGCCAAAAGTGAGTTAAACAACGCACAACGCACCGATGCAGAAGTCCTATGCGCTTTGTCGGTGGACGGATAGACTTGCCCAAGTGGAAAGGTCACTGCCCAGCCGCAGCCGCTCGCCTGGCTTTGGCGGCGGCGTGCTGACTCGCGCCGCGCCACCCGCGCCGGCGCCGACCCCCGGCCCGGGGTCGCGCCTGACGCGTGACCCCTGACCCGGCGGCGCGTCAGATCGACGCCGAGCCTGTCTGTCTCCGGGGGCGGCCGCGTGGCGCGTCCTGTGGACGCCTCGGGCGCTCCGTGTCGGCGCGGCCGGGCCGTATATTGGCGTCGGCTGGTTACGGAGCGGATTCCCGACTGTGGCTGGAGCCAGTTTGGACTGCGGCCAAACGAGCTTCTTGTGTGTCTTCATCGTCTACTCAATGACACGAACTGGCATGAAATTGCGGTCGTGGAAGAAAACATCGGCAGAAGTATTTCTAAAGTGCTGTTGTAGTTGATTAATCGCTGTTTTGGACAAAACTCAGACAGATAAACCGCCTCCCTAAGAATAAACGGTTTTTACTGTCCGCCAATTTCCCCGCCCTCGCCATTAGTTTGGTCAGCGCCGTGGGAAGGAGAAATGAGAACGCCCATCAGCGCCACATACAGGCCGAGTCGCCGAAATGAGCCGACTCGACGGCTGTCGCGCGATGGGCCGCGCTCGCCACCACTGACGCCGGACGTTCCGGTCCGTGTGTGTGCCGGCGGCGGGGCGTGCCGCTCGTTGTCGGCGATCCCGCCTGATTGGGCCATAAGTCAGCCGGCGGGTAGTCGGTCGGCCGCCGGCCGCGGCTTCGGCGGGGTGGTGGGTGGGCCACGCCTGCTGTCGCTGGCTAGAACACGGCGCCTCTTGCGCCGGTCGGGTGTGGCGCACCGCCGGAACGTCACCGTAGGGGACTCGGGGGAGGGGCGAGGGCTGGGGCCGGTGGCCTGCGATGATGCCCTGCGATGCTAAAACTGAACGTTACATTTGTGTTCTAAGTGCGGCTAAAAGCGGCTAGGTCAACGCTTGCCGATGGTTTGAAGTTGTTTCCGTGGGGCAGCAAGGCTGTGGCCCTGATTCTTAAAAACGGTGTGTTTTGACGCCCATTGCTGGAGTTCGATGTGTTGATTTAACGTTTGACTTTACCCGGCTTAACCCAGGGGACAATGTAAGGTTATTTCTTTATTTGATGTGGCTTAAAGAAGTTTGGAGTTCTGATATGAGGTCTTCAATATTCATTTCGCACCAATCAGCTCCTCATCGTGAACTGCATGCGTTTGCTCACTGGTGTTCGCCATGTTGACTTTGTCCTAACCGTGCGCCTTTTCCGCAGGTGGTGCCCAAGGATTACAAGACCATGGCAGCTCTCAGCAAAGCCATAGCCAAAAACGTGCTCTTCTCACATCTGGACGAGAATGAGAGGTGAGAGTGCAGGGCTGGTGGACTGATGCGGTTGGCTGCGTAGCGTTTGTACACTGATGTCACTGTCGGCAAATGTCTCTCGTGTCGCGTGCAATGGTCGTCTCTGTGGTTTTCTACCGAAACCGGTGAGACCGTACACCCGACGGTACTCCGTGTGTTGACTCTCTGCAGACACCAGGCAGTGCTCCGTGTGTTGACGCTCTGCGAACACCAGGCGGTGCTCCGTGTGTTGACGCTCTGCGGACACCAGGCAGTGCTCCGTGTGTTGACGCTCTGCGGACACCAGGCAGTGCTCCGTGTGTTGACGCTCTGCGGACACCAGGCAGTGCTCCGTGTGTTGACGCTCTGCGGGCACCAGGCAGTGCTCTGTGTGTTGACGCTCTGCGGACACCAGGCAGTGCTCCGTGTGTTGACGCTCTGCGGACACCAGGCAGTGCTCCGTGTGTTGACGCTCTGTGGATACAAGGCAGTGCTCCGTGTGTTGACGCTCTGCGGTTGACGCTCTGTGGATACAAGGCAGTGCTCCGTGTGTTGACGCTCTGCGGACACCAGGCAGTGCTCCGTGTGTTGACGCTCTGTGGATACAAGGCAGTGCTCCGTGTGTTGACGCTCTGCGGTTGACGCTCTGTGGATACAAGGCAGTGCTCCGTGTGTTGACGCTCTGCGGACACCAGGCAGTGCTCCGTGTGTTGACGCTCTGCGGTTGACGCTCTGCGGACACCAGGCAGTGCTCCGTGTGTTGACGCTCTGAGGACACCAGGCAGTGCTCCGTGTGTTGACGCTCTGTGGATACAAGGCGGTCTTCCACGTGTGGGCGCTCCCCGGGGCGGGTGCAGTGCTCATATGGGCTGGCGGTATGGGCCCCGGCGGACCGAGCCGGATGATGGCCTGCGGTCCCTTGGTAGCGGATCTGCACGCGACCAGACGCCGGCCCCCGTCACTGGCGCTCGATTCCGCCCGTCTGTAATGGCATGTGTAATTGGTTTTCTGCAGGCAGACGCGCACTGTCAATGAGTCCCGCTTTTATGTCCCACGAAGACCAGGCTAGGTTATGCAGAGCTGCAGTCCGTTTTATTTCGCACTGAATTGCAAGCGAAGCTAGCTGTTTGTAAAATTACAGTGGGAGGGGGGGGGGGGGGGGAGGAGTTCAAAGCTTTGGACGGGACTTTGATGAGACGCCTATACTGGCAGAAGTGGGCGTAGTTTGCGGGACTACCTGGACATTGCGGCATGCTTCTGCGGTGCTTCTACCTACTTCTCTTCCCCCGTCCGCCCGTTCGTGCCGGTGTTCGCCGCCGCCTCCTGCAGCCGCCTGCCGGCAGCGGCTGCGCCAGCGGCAGCGGCCGGCCGCTATTCCTGGCCGGCCCGTACGGGGCCGTCGCCGCCGCCGCGCTGTGATGGCGCCGCCGACGGCTGATGTTGGCGATAGGCGGCCGCCGGTTATAGATAGCCGGCCGCCGGTTCGCCGTACGCTGGCAGGGGTTCTGGGGAGCGGCGGGAGCAGCGACAGGCGCGCGGCGGCACAGACCGATGGAGGCGCCTGTCGGAGCGCCGCCCCAACAGCCACGCTGGAGGAGGTCGGCAGCCGCTGGCCGCTGACGACTCCGAGCGACCGGCAGCTCGGCAGAAGTGGTGGCGAAAGAAACGTTGGTTAAAATTTCGCTGAATCTTGGCGTAGTCTGCACATGACGGTATCGAGAGCAGGTGGTTCAAACCCGGCGCATTACGCAGCATTTTGGAGGTCCTATGGCGACAGCCAGCCTGAGAGTGTGCGACGCCAGTGGTCCAGCGTTTGATCTGTCGGTGAACTATCGACGGTTGAAGTACGCGCCTACGGATCTGCTCGTCCAATGAATGTGAAGTAGGGAGCTGAGGTCAAATGGAAATGATGTCGCATTCATATGCCGATGTAGTTCGCGCCAATGTGTGTACACATGCAGGCAAAATACAAATATCAGGAGGACAGAGGATGTCCCAGCTTCTCTTCTGTGAGGAAGACAGGCTGTCAGATTATCCCTTCTGTGCGCAGCCCCAGCGTCACGTGTAGAAAAGCAAGGCGCCATGCATCAGCCTGTGTGCGCTTGTTGCCATGCCCACCATTGTTGCACACACTTCAGACAGGTGCCGTGACGTCACAGTCGTCTTTCGGGGGCGCTGGGCGTCGGCTGGCAGCGGCTGGAGACGGGTCAAGTCGGGGCGGCTCCTCCCACCGTCCGGCAGCCACTGACAGCTGGCCCCGGGGTCGGGCCGGGCCGGGGTGGCCGCTGTTCTGTACCGGGCCGGGATCGGCGGTGATCTGCGGGGTTTGGTCACCTGGGCTGGGCCGGGGATCGGCGGTGATCTGCGGGGTTTGGTCACCTGGGCTGGGCCGGGGATCGGTAGTGATCTGCGGGGTTGGTCACCTGGATCGGTATCGATGCGTCAATAGCTGAGGTGATTGCGTGGCCCATTCCCCCGCCCCTCACTGCACTGGCCACTGGTCAGCACTGGTGCTGCACCGGTATGATGTTGTGTGGAGGAGTGTGGTTCCCTTTTCAGCGGGGGTTCCTCCCCAACTTTAGGAAGAAAATGATCCAAACTCGGGGCGAAGTCTTGTGTGGGTGTCATTTTGGGTGCTTTTTTTATTCCTCTTTATTTATGCTTGCTCCTTTTCTTGCTCGGCCTTTGTCACCAATTCATTTGTTTTCATTTTCTCCTTTTCTTTTCAATTCATTTTTCTCCCCAATTCACTATGTCCCTGGCCCCGGTGGCGTAAGATTTTTACCCGTGAGTGCTCCTGTTGGTTTTTCCACCATAAGTCTATTATTAAAATTTGCAAAATTCTGAGTGTCCTCATCCCCACAGCCTTCATGTGTCTGGCGACCAGCCGGCATCATGAACAAAATCGGCTTAAACGTCGGTGCGAGCGCGCTGTTATCTGCGAACGGTTACGCTGGAGGCCGCCGCCACCGCGGTCGTCGCCCGCCGCCACCATTCATCCAGCATAGTGTGGTCGTATTCGGGCCGGTCTGGCGCCGCTGTCGGCAGCAGCGACAGCAGCGGCATCAGCAGCGGCACCGGCCGCGGTGGCGTGCCGGTTGGCGGCAGCGCGTGGCCGGGCTATTTTCTGAAGAGCACCGGCATCATCTGGATAGTCTCGCCGCTATCACCGCTATCTTCAGGCTATTCTCACCGCTATCACCGCTATCACCCGGATCGTCTCGCTACCATCATCCGACTAGTTCCGCCGCTCTGTTGAATGCAAACGAGACCATCGGCCAGGTCATGGCTGCCGCCTACGCCCCCGCCCCCCCCCCCCCCTCCACTGATGAATGCGGCCCGCGAATTGACCGTGGCCGGCCAGCCGCCATTTCCGTCCCGGATAGGCGGTCACGTCTTAAGGAGACCATTGGAGAGAGAGCATAGAGCCTGGGGTGACCTGTGACGCCCCCAGGGAAGGGGCGGGAATACGTGTTGCCGAGTCGGCGCAGCGGAGGTGCACGCGCGCGCCAGTGGTGTCCTGCTGACGGAAATGTTGGTGAAGACCAAATGCGATGTGTGCCGCCTGGGATGAGGCATAGCAAAACTGGACGTTGGCTCTGAACGCTCCGCTGAACGGTAGCCTAGAACACAACGTGTGGAGCCAACGCGTCGATTTCTGGTCCTGACGCAGCTCTGTACCACGGCTCTGGTGTGACTCCTGACGCCTCCTGGTCCTGGTCTGCTCGTTCTCTGAAATCCTTTCCGGCCAGCCAGGCCCAGTCAATCATGGCCACACCTGTCGTTGAAGAAAAGTGCTGCTGTCCGATCGCCGCCGTCGCCGCCGTCATCCGGAGACGCTCCCGCCGGCCGTTGCCAGCAGCTTGCTGGCGGGACCGGCGGCGCTGCGCCTCCGACTGGGTCGGAGGTGCCGGGGAGGTGCCGGGCAGGCGCGCCGCCGGCACGGGTGGAGCCTGGGTCACAGCGCGGCACACCTGACACGGCACGCGCGGCGGCGGGCTTGCCGCAGCGCCAGCACTGCGCGACAAATTGTGATTGGTTTTCCGCGGGCGCGTGCTGGTGAATGCCGCGAATACGCGTCTTTATGGCTCAGAGTGTCCGTGTATTTGTGCCACGGTCTGCGCGTGTCTGTTGATCTCTGCGTACACTATTGCGTGTGGAAACGATGAGAATTACGACCGTGCAGAATTTCGGCTCGGTTAGGTTCTGCTCAGATATGCACGTGAAATATCCGCCAGCAGCTTTTCAGTGCGTTCTTTAGAAAAGTAAGAGGATCTTTGAAAAGCGCGCATATGTCAAGCTGAGTATGGTATGACTTCCACACACGACATCAGCACATTTTACGTATTTAAATATCTGGTCTCCTTGGAGAGCAAGCAATTTTGAATGTCTCCCAATTACCATATCGGGACCAACCCCATTGCAGAAGTCATAAACTTGAGTGTCGTCGTCGGAACAAGCTGCCTTCCCCAGCCTTGATTCTGATCCTCGCTAGTCACATTTGGTTAGCATGCCTGACATTGCGTCTGTGGCTATTCGCCAGGCCTGGGTACCGACGAACAGGGCATCGGCTTACTTAATGCTTACTGTACTTAAAATGCGATGGTATAAGGCCTGCTCAGCGATAGGTACTAGGTTCAGTACGTTGGGCCTCCGTGGATCTTCCCTGGCAAGTTTCCTCGGCCGACGACAGACACTGCTGCCTCAGCCGAACAGCAGACATTGCTGCCTCGGCCGGCCAGCAGACACTGCTGCCTCAGCTGATTGCAGACACTGCTGCCTCGGCCGGCAGCAGACACTGCTGCCTCGGCGACAGCAGACACTGTTGCATCGGCCGATGGCAGACACTGCTGCCCTCAGCCAACGGCAGACACTGCTGCCTCGGCGACAGCAGACACTGCTGCATTGGCCGATGGCAGACACTGCTGACTCAGCCGATAGCAGACACTGCTGCATCGGCCAAAGGCGGACACTGCTGCCTCAGCCAACGGCAGACACTGCTGCATCGGCGGGATGGCAGATACTGCTGTCTCAGCGGCGCAGCTTAGCTCCCTTGAATCGCAGCTGAGGGGAATGCCGGGTAAAATGCCAGGATCATGTCAGGGTTTAAGACCTGCAGACCTGATGAACAATGTAGCACGCAGCCTGATCAGTCCTGTTTCTTTCTGCCGGCTGGCGGCGGGTGGCCTGTGGCGGTTGCTTCTGCTGACTGGTGGCTGGTGGCCTGTGCCGGTTGAGCCGCAGTGTGGTCTCGGCGGCTTCCTCGGCTGCGGCGGACTGCCAGACTGCCACGCTGTCGGGCTGGACGCGCCACCGCTGACCCGGCCTTCCGTCCCCAGGTCGGACATGTTCGACGCCATGTTCGCGCAGACGTTCCTCAAGGGCGAGACGACCATTCAGCAGGGCGACGAGGGCGACAACTTCTACGTCATCGACTCGGGCGAAGTGGAGGTAGGTGGCCGTTTGGGGCGGGCGGGGCGCGGGCGCTCCGCTCCAGGCCCGGAGCGGGCCCTCTGCCGGTGGGACTGGGTTGGAGCGGGGCCTGTCCTCTGTCGGCCTGCCTGAACGAGCGCTGCTGGGTACTGCTACGCGGGAGAAGTACCATCGCACTTGCACCATCCTGTGTGTGGCGCTGGGTGTCTTAACTGTCCGTGATGTATGCACATGCCTGCTGATTTTGGTGGTCTGTGTGTCCCTTCTTCTGAGGACTCCGTACACAGGCCCATCTGTCCTTTCAGCCGAAAAGCATGGACGATCTCCCTAGACCGTGCATGACGACATACGACATATGGCATACCCTGTGACGAGATAGTGGTGTGTCCAGCACCTGACGGCGTCTTGTCAGGCCTTGCCTTGGCTTTGGACCATCTTCCTTCAGCAATACCAAGTGAAACCCGGACCGTAGCTGCCTGAGCCCTCTCTCTCTCTCTCTCTCTCTCTCTCTCTCTCTCTCTCTCTCTCTCTCTCTTCTCTCTCTCTCTCTCTCTCTCTCTCGCTCCTCTCTCTCTCTCTCTCTCGCTCGCACTCGCACTCGCACTCGCACTCACGCACTCGCACACTCGCACTCGCACTCGCACTCGCACTCGCAACTCGCACTCGCACTCGCACTCGCACTCGCACTCGCACTCGCACTCGCACTCGCACTCGCACTCGCACTCGCACTCGCACTCGCACTCGCACTCGCACTCGCACTCGCACTCGCACTCGCACTCGCACTCGCACTCGCACTCGCACTCGCACTCGCACTCGCACTCGCACTCGCACTCGCACTCGCACTCGCACTCGCACTCGCACTCGCACTCGCACTCGCTCTCGCACTCGCTCGCACTCGCGCCCTCGCGC